ACAGTACAGTCCATTTAACATGATTTCCTATGGAACACGGTCACATCTCCGCGTTTTCACTTGGTGTGTTTTTTTTTGGAAAGGGTCAGGGACTTGAACGCAAAAAAGTTGCATTTTTGGTTCTATAGACTTCAATGAAAACTCTGCAGAAACGCATGTAGTGCATTTTTGCGGAATTTTTGTGTTTTAAATCTGCTTAGCAACAAGAAACATTTTTTTAAAAAAAGGAAAATACATCAAAATCAAGTCAAAAACCCAAGTGCAAAAACGCAATGCAGAAACTGCTCAAAATGCAAATTGCATAGGTGTGAACCTAGCCTTACCAATGACAACCACGTATGTTAGAAAATTTTCAATTTGTACAGTGCTTTTTTTTTGTTTACAAGACACAGAGGATGCTATTCAAAGGCAACTATGTGAAATCATAACAGGTTAATTGCAAATATTGTAATACATTATGCAAGTAGATTTTATATAAAAGTGGTGTGGCAGGGCGAGGTCAAGCCACTGTGTAAAGTGGCAGTCTGGGTTGGGTTTTGAATAGTCAACAGGCACAGTGGCATGGCCTTGCCCTGCCACACCACATTTATATAAAATCTACTCACATGATGGTGTGTGCTGGGTTCATATTAGGATTAGCGTTCGGGGCTCCACGCCCCACGAGGAGACATTGTGTGCTGCAAAGGAGCAGAGAGGTGTGTGTCTGCACCATGCTGTCAAGGACAGGACAGAGACCCAAGCCTGTGACAGAGAAGGACATAGCAGCAGAAAGCTGCAGGGTAAGAGACCAGCTGCAAGAGGTATAGCGGTTGGTGTATGAGCACAGGGACGTGTTTGATGGTCAGGAGGACCAAAGGTACCAAGCTTGAGTGGTAAAGCTGCCAGGAGGTTGAACACCATATTTTGTTCATTTGATGGTAAAAATTTGTGAGCAACCAATTTTCTTTGCCATTTTAAATAAAAGTGGGCAGCAACAGTCCTGAAAAGACACATCTAGCATGAAGTAAATGTACTGTTTTGCACTACCAACGAGCTCCAAAACCCTCAAGTTGTTTCCCAAGTAGTCACAGTGGTTAAATGAAGGAATAGTGATTGGTTGCTCTGCAAAGTGCACTGCCCTGTAAATGTAACAAGGATAGAATCTATGCAGAAAAGCTGACTCCACTGGGAGCCTATTACCCTGGAGGCTGTGTGAATGCACGTCTATTTATTCCATAGGTAACAATGGTAGAATATAGGTCACACATGTGCAAAAGTGTCCTTGGATTGGAACTGTGCAGAAGAAAAGTGGCTGACGGAGCCCAGAATTCAGTTTTTGTTCTCCAGCACAGCAGCCGTTCTTGTGTATAACAGACGAGTGCAGCCAGAACCACGCATATTCTTGAAAATTCAATATAGCAACCTTGATGGGACCCAGGGCCCCAGCCAAAGGGGCATCTGAGAGTGTCATGAAAATTAATGGATGATTGTTTTGGCACACGCAAGGCGTCTGATATCCATGAGCTAAAATTAGAGCGTTCAAAAATATTTTTACCTAAATAAGTCCTCTGTGTGTTCACACATTGCGTAGAGCATCTGCCAGATGAAATTCAATTTGTGGAAACATGTGCGGGGAGCATAATGTGCAGCTCAGCGCAGGAACAAAACATACTGTGCACCGTACAGTATCCAGCAGGATGCTGTTAAAGGGAAACTCAAGTCTATGGAGATAAACACATTTTCAAACAGATATAATGGCTGCTAGCTACCTGTACTGCCTTCTACTTTTCTGTGAAGCTGCTTTGTTTCTGTTAGTGTAAAACATGCTATACAGTTGGGGAAAATATGTTCCCATTTTCTCAGCCTGCACCTAGTTCTTTTATGGGCTCAAATAGTAACTATTAAATACTAAGAATCACCTGTTGTGCCTCACCCAGCAACCACATTCAAACATTTCAGGAATAAAAACATGATGGTTTGGACTAGAAAGTACTGACATTCTTCTACTGTTAGAATGGTTTCTCCTGACACTTACCTGAATTCTGTATACAGCCTTAAAAACTCCGCCGCCATCCCACAGTTGCTTGAACATGAAACTGATAGAAGATATGTATAAGAGTTTTGTCATTCACTCCTGATTTTTATTTCCACTCATCTAGTACCTAATGCAGGCATTAACAATATCACCCTGATTAAAGGAATACGTGCATTTTAAAAATACACCAGTGTCTATATCCAGATAATTAAACTGGTTTGCAAATATTTTTTTCTCAACTTTTTTTTTTATATATATTTATACTTTAAAAGCCAATTTCACCTTTCCAAATAATAAAATAAATACATTTTTTTCCCAGGTAAAAAAATAAGTATAATTTTTTTCTCCAGTAGCCTGTAAAGCATTGCATCCACGATCAACAGATCGCAGGCGCAATGCAGGGCTCCTGCAGCCTTTCAGTGTATCTGTCTGCTTGTACCTTGTACAATCAGGCATTTACTCAATGACAGGAAAAATCAATGAACTATCTAGAGCACTCAGAGGTCCCTGGTAGTTCATTGAGAACTACAAGCCATCACCCACAAAGGCTGTCAGTACCTGTAATTCATTCACAGAACTTTGTGAATGAGTGATGTGCCTGTGTGGGCGAAGTCCCGCTTGGCCGCATTCTTTTCACATTGGGACAGTGGGTGCGTGAAGATCCTCGGCCCTCTGTTACAATTAGAAGGGGATACGGAGAGAGGGTGCAAGGGCGGGGACATTACATGTTCCCAAAAGGTGAACTTGACCTTTAAAAAGACTCTTCAAAGCTGTACATTGGGGTTGATTTACTAAACCTGAATAGTGCAAAATTGGGTGCAGCTGTGCATGGTAGCCAATTAGCTTCTAACTTCAGCTTGTTCAATAATGCAGGCCATAGATGGGTTGAAAATCAGCCGATTTTTCGGCCGAAAAAAAAAAAGAAAAAAGAAAAAAATCGGCCGATTTTCGCGGCAATGATGGGCAAATTGGAAGAAGAGGAAGAGGAAGAAGAGGAAGAAGAGGAAAAGGAAGAAGAGGAAGAGGAAGAAGAGGAAAAGGAAGAAGAGGAAGAAGGAAGAGAGGAAGAGAGGAAGAAGAGGAAGAAGAATATGGCAATACTTTTTAATGTCAAATATAATAGCGGGACTCTGCAGGGACAGAAGTAATTAAATGCCGGCCGTAGACGGGAAGAAAATCGGCTGATTTTTCTTTTACTGTTGGTGGTAACATCAGCCTATTGAATAACCAATTTGTTGTTTTTTTGTTAAAAAAATGGCCGGTTTTCTCCCCGTCTATGGCCTGCATTAGGCTTTGACAAAGAAAAATGGAAGCTGCTCTCTATGCGCAGCTGTATTAGATTTTGCATTCTCCAGTTTTAGTAAATCGACCACAGTATGTTACTAGCAAATATAATCTGAAATACTACTATTTTCTTACTGCACCCCTGGGATCTTTGATGATGTATGCTATCATGATTGTGTTGCACAGATCAAGTTTGCACATCTAATGGAATGACTATATACAAGTAGTACTCCAGTTTCCTCCCACACTCCAAAGACATCATTTACAAGTCGCAGGGCATGCAAATTGCATACCAAGTCACATCCAGGGTGCGCGATTTCAGGTGCGATTTGGGAATTGAAATTGTACCTGATATCGGATCTAATGAATAGGGATGTGAGTGTCTTAACATATGCGATTCGCTGCAGCACAATTTCAAAAGTAGTTCTTGTCTAACTTTTTCTGCATTTTGTAGCGATTTCACATATAGACTACAATAGAAATCACAATGCAAAACACAATTGAAAACACAATAACTCATTGGTAAATCTACAGAAAACACGGTGAAATTGCAAACAAAAATCGCATCTAGTGTGAACCAAGCAGGCAATTCAACAATAATAAATCTTTGAAGGCATGCGGTACCTGCATGCTCGGATAAGGGTCTGTTATGGATTTGGAGGGGGACTCCATGCCATTATATTCTCTCTCTCATTTTAACTCACATTCTAGGGATCATTTAGACAGAAAGCAAAGATGCTGCCACCACTATTTTAGGCTAGCCACCCAGGGAGATCATGCAACTTCATTGCCGCGGTTGGGATTCAAACAGACAACCCTAGAGCTGTGAGGCAGCAGTGCTAACCACTTATCCACTGAGCTGTGGAACACTAACCCCGCCTGTATTTCTGTGGTGTGAATCAACCCTAAGTCCCTGGGCAAGGTCAATGTAACTAGCCAGATATCTCAAATGTGACACAAATGTTGTACTGTGTTGCCATGTCTGATGTATGTTGGTTCTATGTATCCTAATACAAAGGACTACAATACTAATACATACTGTATTAGGCGTACCTCAGTTAATGTAATTTTTGGTTTACGAATGAAAATCCATTGAAAATAATGCCTCGGTTTACACAATTGTTAATTTTTTTTGCAATACAAAGTGTATGTCAGCGCTGATTTTTAAATGCAAATGCCAGCCTTTTTTTTTTCTTCACTATAGTTCTCAAGCTTATCTATTACTTTCCCAGAAAACTTTGTATCTTACTAAATTAAAACTAAACATTGTTTCCTTTAGGGATATAAACTCAAAAGAAAAAACTCTTTTAGCTGGGGGAAGTGACAGCTGAATTTGAGCTATAGTGAAGAAAAAAAAAAAGGCGAGAATTACGTTTAAAAACCGGCACCATAATAAATAAAAAAAAGGCATGGGGTCCCCCCTCTCATCCACACCAAGCCCTTCGGGTCTGGTATGGATTTAGAGAGGGGGGGGTGAGCGAGGGGACACGTACCCAGATCATGAGAGCACTGATGATCAGTGTGCCCTGATGATCTGTGTAGCCCCAGCAGTGCCACCTGTCAGTGTCCATCAGTGCCAGCTCTCAGTGCTCATCCATGCCACATTTCAGTGCCCATCTGAGCCGCCTTTCAGTATCACCCATCTGAGCCACCTTTCAGTGCCACCCATCTGAGCTGCCTTTCAGTGTCACCCATCTGAGCTGCCTTTCAGTGTCACCCATCAGTGCCGCCTAACAGAGCCAGTCAGTACCGCCTAACAGTGCCATATATGAGTGCTGCCTTTCAGTACCCATCAGTGCCACCTACCAGTGCCTCCTCATCAGTGCCACCTATCAGTGCCACCTATCAGTGCTCATCAGTGCAGCCTCATTAGTGCACATCAGTGAAGGAGAAAAATCACTTATTTACAAAATTTTATAAGAAAAAACGTTTTTTTTCAAAATTTTCAGTGGTTTTTGGTTTAAGAAAAAATAAACCCAGAGGTGATTAAATGCCACCAAAATAAAGCTCTGTCACAAAAAAAATGATAAAAATTTCATATGGGTACAGTGTTGCATGATGCGCAATTGTCATTCAAAGAGCAACAGCGCTGAAAGCTGGAAATTGGCCTGGGCAGGAAGGGGGTATAAGTGCCCTGTAGGCTAGTGGTTAAAGGACTTGTCAAAGACCATGTCCTGACTTTTTTCACACTACACTTTGTTTTTTTGTGAATGAGTAGCGGTACCATGTACCCCATACTCATTCACGTAGGGGGGGGTGGGGATCTGGGGGCCCCCTTGTTAAAGGGGGCTTCCAGATTCTGATAAGCCCTCTGCCTGCAGACCCCCCACAACCACCGGCTATGGTTGTGTGGGAAGAGGCCCTTGCCCCCATCAACATGGGGACAAGGTGCTTTGGGGGGAGCCTCCCTGCCCCAAAGCACCCCCCCATGTTGAGGGCATGTGGCCTGGTATGGTTCAGGAGGGGGGGGGCTCGCTCTTTCCCCCCCCCTTTCCTGACCTGCCGGGCTGCATGCTCGGATAAGAGTCTGGTATGGATTTGGGGGGGACCCCATGCCATTTTTTTTTAATTTTGGCGTGGGGTTACCCCTTAAAATCCATACCAGACCCGAATGGCTTGGTATGGATGGGAGGGGGGACCCCACGCTGTTTTTTTTAAATTTTTTGAATTGCCGACTTTTATTTTTAGATTCAGCTGTCAAAATATATATTATCTAGACCTTCGAAATATGTAAAACCATTACAGAAATAATTATAAAGGATAAGAAACAAAAACAGAATCAATAGTACTAAGGAAATAAAATTAGAATACATAAAGATATGCATAGCTACAAATAGTGCTGTTTGTTAAACATAGTAGACGCGATCGAGTGCCATCTGTCAGAGGACTCCACACAGAGATTTACTATTAAACAGCGTCTACAAAGAAAGCACCCACGGCATACGGCTAAAATGTGTTCTACACATGCGCATTTATATCCGTGCATAGACGCTGGAAAAGCGTCTAGTTCTTAACTGTCATGAATTCCTTTAAAAAACTATTTTACACATTTAAAAAATGTTTTTGAAATGTAAGATAAAGCGAAGTCCCAATATTTGTGAAAGCAAATTTCAATGTGAACATGTCTCTGCAGTGATTTTTCGTTGCGTTAGACGTGCTTCTTAGCAAGTCTGCTTTCTTAGACTGATTCCTGGATTGTGCCTGGTTAGTAAATTCGATTTTGCGTCTACTTGTTGACACTTTCTTTAGTAAATATCTTTGCCATCTAAAAGTAGATGGTCGCTATTGAAAAGTAGATGTTAGCCCATGGAAATGCGCTTGGCACATTAGTAAATCAGGGCCAGTGTGTGTGTGTGTGTGTGTCTGTATGTGTACAGCCTACTTTGTGCTTAAATATCAAGTTGAACTGTCATTTATACAAAAGGTGCAGCTGTTTTTAAAATTCAACTGCAGTGCAGGTAATATGGTAAAATAAAGTACAGTATGTAGGTAATTACAAGCAGAGTGTACAAAATGTAGAGTTTAACAAATTTCCAGTTGAAATATACTGTATATGTGCTGGAGCAAGGTTCTCACTTTTTCTAGAGTTCTCCTTTATATGCATCAGCACACGCTCTGCACCCCCTGAACAGTACTGCAGTGGATGTTCTGGCAACAGCTGGTGATCTGCCCCTGCAGTCTACAGATCAGAAACACAAGGTCTGATGAAATCTCCCAGGGCCTCTGTAATGTTAACCTTTATACGTATAATAAAACAACAACCGGTGACTTCAAGGGATCTCATCTCTCACTGGCCTCTTTCCTCTCAATCGCAGTATTTTTACTAGTGCACAGTATTTCAATACTGAAATGCCTTTCAACGTCTCTGACAAGAAAGTTTTTTAGGCTCTCATGTGAATAATAATGAAAGTATGAACAGAATCAGCAGAAAAAAAATCTCTGCTGTACCAGTTTTCTGACTTCTGTATCCAAGAACGGCAACATGCAATGTCATGATGCTGCCTATAGGATAAAGGTTTAGGCATTGAATTAAAAAGATCAAACCACACTCTTTCCAGCAGCCCACCTCCATGATTTAAGCTCTCTAGGGAAAAAAGCACTTTACCTTTCATCCGGCTCAGGGGATTTCCATCCAGCACACCTGGCTGCCTGTATAATTTCCTGAATGGCCATAATAAGCCTGATCCTGTGAAAACTTAGACCATTATTTACAAGTCACAGAGGAAGAGAGACCAGTGCAGAATCATCTGACAACAGTCCGTAGATCTACCCAGAAAGGGTTCCTAACCTGGTTGTATGAAAGCCAGACTGAGGATGAATTCAGGATACTGTCAGACTTTCACTTAATTGTAGGCATGGATTTTTACTTGTCTTCAAAGTTATTTTTTAACAGGTAAAACAAGAATTTTCTAAACAGAGTTTTGATTCAAATGACTGGGAAATAACTATACCAGGGTATACACTATACAGGAAAGAGTGTAGGGAAGAGGTGAGGTGGAGTTGCCATATATGTCAAAAATAGCATAAGGCATAATAGCATTAATTCAAAAAACACATGAAATACTCAAAACCCTCTGAAAGAGTATTTGATGCTTGGAATAAACTTCCAGCAGAGGTAGTGAGGCAGTCACCAGTAAATAACTTCAAACATGCTTGGGACAAGCATAGATCTATACTCTGACAAAAAAAAAAAAAAAGCACACAAAAATCCCTGCCCCCCCCAAAAAAGTAAAATTTAAAAAAAAATGGGCAGATTCGATGGACCACTCGGTCTTTTTCTGCTGTCACTTTTCTAGGTTTCTTGAGTTTTAAACTATCCCAGCATAAGAGAAGAAGATGACAGCAATCATGTTGAGTCAATGATGGATATACATTTCCAATGGGAACTTTTGGTTATTTTTAATCTGCATGCACTGTCTAGCCTCAGTTTTTTTTCCTTAGTTTTGGATAGATCTGTGGAAGATTAGAAGGCCTTATTTAGGAAGGATTTAGACTTCTACCTTGGGCTCCATTAAAGATTTCCCCTCACTTCCAGTCCTGCTCACAAAATTCTTGATAGACATGAATGGAGTGGAACTCTCCGACAGCAACACTAGCAAAAATCAAAAGTCATAGTTTTAGTAGAGTAGGGGGTGGCCTATCAAATGTTTACCCTTGTCTGTATCCCTTATGCAGTTTCTTTATCACTTCCTGACTAGTGTAACGGTTGTAACTTTCTCAGCGAACTTTTCAGCTGAACAGAGCAATGTTTGGCACTGTGGGCAATGGAAAAGGTAGTTATACATACACTTTCTTCTATTTCAGGTCACAGAAATTTGTAACACTTTTTGGTGTCAGGCATAGATGGTGACTGCTGCCTGCTATGCTCACTTCATTTTTCACAAATTAAATAAAGCGAGAGTGGATCTCTTGAGCAGCTCACACCGAGCTGCACTGGTAAGTGGTAATGGCATGTGTACAAGTGGAAAAGTCCATTTATCCACATCGTGGGAGGCAAAAGAGCCATCCTGGCTGTTTGTAGTGAATAGAGATGAGCGAATCGAACATGGCGAAGTGGAATTCGTTTCGAAGATCAGGAAAAATTCGATTCGCGCCGAATCCGAAAATTAGCAAACTTCGGAAGCACGAATCGAATTTTCCCAAAAATGGCGGCGACATGTGTGGCGACGGAGCGGGGATCTCTGGGAAGGCGCGCAGACAAGGCGCGCTGACCCATAATGCATTCATTCATGACATGTGATCGCATTAGCCAATCAGCAGCCAGCCAGCCAGCACTGTGTAATGGTGGAGCTATAAATTGCGGCCATCTTACAATTCTCCATTAACCTCCGGTCATTCAAGAGAGACAGACCTGTCTGTATTAGGGACAGAGTTGGGGCCAGAGAGACTTTAGGGACTTTAGGGCCACAGAATCGTTACTCAGGGACACAGAATTGTTACTCGACACAGAATTGTTACTCACAGAATCGTTACTGACACAGAATTGTTACTCAGGGACAGACACAGAATTGTTACTCAGGGACACAGAATTGTTACTCGGGGACACAGAATTGTTACTGAGGGACACAGAATCGTTACTGAGGGACACAGAATTGTTACTCAGGGACACAGAATTGTTACTCAGGGACAGACACAGAATTGTTACTCAGGTACACAGAATTGTTACTGAGGGACACAGAATTGTTACTCAGGGACACAGAATTGTTACTCAGGGACAGACACAGAATTGTTACTCAGGGACACAGAATTGTTACTGAGGGACACAGAATTGGGGACACAGAATTGTTACTCAGGGACAGACACAGAATTGTTACTCAGGGACACACAGAATTGTTACTGAGGGACACAGAATCGTTACTGAGGGACACAGAATCGTTACTCAGGGACACAGAATCGTTACTCAGGGACACAGAATCGTTACTCAGGGACACAGAATCGTTACTCGGGGACACAGAATTGTTACTCAGGGACACAGAATTGTTACTCAGGGACACAGAATTGTTACTGAGGGACACAGAATCGTTACTGAGGGACACAGAATCGTTACTCGGGGACACAGAATCGTTACTCGAACAGAATTGTTACTCAGGGACACAGAATTGTTACTCAGGGACAGACACAGAATTGTTACTCAGGGACACAGAATTGTTACTGAGGGACACAGAATCGTTACTGAGGGACACAGAATTGTTACTCAGGGACACAGAATTGTTACTCAGGGACACAGAATTGTTACTGAGGGACACAGAATTGTTACTGAGGGACACAGAATTGTTACTCAGGGACAGACACAGAATTGTTACTCAGGGACACAGAATTGTTACTCAGGGACACAGAATCGTTACTGAGGGACACAGAATTGTTACTCAGGGACACAGAATTGTTACTCAGGGACACAGAATTGTTACTCAGGGACAGACACAGAATTGTTACTCAGGGACAAAGAATCGTTACTCAGGGACACAGAATCGTTACTCAGGGACACAGAATTGTTACTCAGGGACACAGAATCGTTGAATTAAAGAGTATGTCAGACAACACAGAGGAGTGGCAGAGGAGGCAATGTTTCAGGAGCGAGCAGACGTGGCAGCAGAGGAAGGGGTCGAGGCAGCACTAGTCGCAGCCAGAGGCCAGTGCTCCCGGTGTCATCCAGCGGTCGTGTCTCCACCGACAACCCTGCCGTCATCGATTGGTTGGCTCGGTCGTCTTCCTCTTCCCAGGTCACCTCTGACACCTACAGCCAACGGTCGGTGGGTACGTCAGACACAACCGTTAGTTGGCATGGCCCGGGAGCAAGCCCACTGAAATCACGTGTCCTCTACCTGCCCCTGTCCTTTGGTGTTCCCTCACCAAGCGAAGTATTGCATGCTGTGGGCTCAGCCCCACTGTACAGTGAGGAAGAGCTAACAGAGGGCGGTCAGGAACGGGGGGAGACATCCGCCTCTTCAGCAGCCAGGCGAAGAAGTACTGGCGAGGAGAATGGCTCGGTAGCCGATCTAGAGACAGGTCTGTCTCCTGACCCACAAGCAGCCGAGGGGGCTAGTAGTGAGGCGGAGACCCTAATTGATCATGATGAGGCTGATCGCACTTGGCAGCCTCGTCGTCATCTGCCAGGCTCGTAATCTGCCATGGGCCTCCGTACCGACTCCTCATGCTGCTGCCAGGCCCGTAATCTGTCATGGGCCCCTGTACCGCCTCCTCATGCTGCTGCCAGGTCCAGAGTGTGTCATGGGTCCCTGTACGGCCTCCCATTGCTGCTGTCTCCATCGCCACACTCTGCCATGTGCCACTTTCAGGTCTCCTCACACTGCTGGTGGGTTCCATTTTGTCATAGGGTGCTGGCAGATTACGGGCCTCCCATTGCTGCTGCCAGGCCCGTAATCTGTCATGGGCCCCTGTACCGCCTCCTCATGCTGCTGCCAGGTCCAGAGTGTGTCATGGGTCCCTGTACGGCCTCCCATTGCTGCTGTCTCCATCGCCACAGTCTGCCATGTGCCACTTTCAGGTCTCCTCACACTGCTGGTGGGTTCCATTTTGTCATAGGGTGCTGGCAGATTACGGGCCTCCCATTGCTGCTGCCAGGCCCGTAATCTGCCATGGGCCCCCGTACCGACTCCTCATGCTGCTGCCAGGCCCGTAATCTGTCATGGGCCCCTGTACCGCCTCCTCATGCTGCTGCCAGGTCCAGAGTGTGTCATGGGTCCCTGTACGGCCTCCCATTGCTGCTGTCTCCATCGCCACACTCTGCCATGTGCCACTTTCAGGTCTCCTCACACTGCTGGTGGGTTCCATTTTGTCATAGGGTGCTGGCAGATTACGGGCCTCCCATTGCTGCTGCCAGGCCCGTAATCTGTCATGGGCCCCTGTACCGCCTCCTCATGCTGCTGCCAGGTCCAGAGTGTGTCATGGGTCCCTGTACGGCCTCCCATTGCTGCTGTCTCCATCGCCCAGTCTGCCATGTGCCACTTTCAGGTCTCCTCACACTGTCCATTTTGTCATAGGGTGCTGGCAGATTACGGGCCTCCCATTGCTGCTGCCAGGCCCGTAATCTGCCATGGGCCCCCGTACCGACTCCTTATGCTGCTGCCAGGCCCGTAATCTGTCATGGGCCCCTGTACCGCCTCCTCTCTGCTGCTGCCAGGTTCAGAGTGTGTCATGGGTCCCTGTACGGCCTCCCATTGCTGCTGTCTCCATCGCCACAGTCTGCCATGTGCCACTTTCAGGTCTCCTCACACTGCTGGTGGGTTCCATTTTGTCATAGGGTGCTGGCAGATTACGGGCCTCCCATTGCTGCTGCCAGGCCCGTAATCTGCCATGGGCCCCCGTACCGACTCCTCATGCTGCTGCCAGGCCCGTAATCTGTCATGGGCCCCTGTACCGCCTCCTCATGCTGCTGCCAGGTTCAGAGTGTGTCATGGGTCCCTGTACGGCCTCACATTGCTGCTGTCTCCATCGCCACAGTCTGCCATGTGCCACTTTCAGGTCTCCTCACACTGCTGGTGGGTTCCATTTTGTCATAGGGTGCTGGCAGATTACGGGCCTCCCATTGCTGCTGCCAGGCCTGTAATCTGTCATGGGCCCCTGTACCGCCTCCTCATGCTGCTGCCAGGTCCAGAGTGTGTCATGGGTCCCTGTACGGCCTCCCATTGCTGCTGTCTCCATCGCCACAGTCTGCCATGTGCCACTTTCAGGTCTCCTCACACTGCTGGTGGGTTCCATTTTGTCATAGGGTGCTGGCAGATTACGGGCCTCCCATTGCTGCTGCCAGGCCCGTAATCTGCCATGGGCCCCCGTACCGACTCCTCATGCTGCTGCCAGGCCCGTAATCTGTCATGGGCCCCTGTACCGCCTCCTCATGCTGCTGCCAGGTTCAGAGTGTGTCATGGGTCCCTGTACGGCCTCCCATTGCTGCTGTCTCCATCGCCACACTCTGCCATGTGCCACTTTCGGGTCTCCTCACACTGCTGGTGGGTTCCATTTTTTCATAGGGTGCTGTATGGCCTCCCATTGCTGCTGCCTCCACCGCCACACTGTGGCTCCACACTCTGGTTTTGGCCCCGTGACTGCCCAAATGAGTGAAGTGTGTGGTGATTCTAAGATCGACGGCACTCATCTGCATGTCATACTGACTGACAGTATTATTTCTCTTCCCCAGCAGACTCCAAGGGCATTTAAATTAAAGGTACAGTGTTCTGCACTAATATAAAGGCTCTCTGAAGCCTAGAAACACCCTTTTTATAAGTTAAATTCGCAGCGAATATATTCGACTCGAATCAAATTTATTCCGCAAATTCGCCGAATCAGCCAAATCGAATTTTTGAATAATTCGCTCATCTCTAGTAGTGAACAATACAACTGGGGAGAGTAAGGGGTACAGGTGCTGCAGAGGTAAGCTGTAAGCCTTGGATGTGGGTGGAAGTGTAAAGATAGGCTGTGAAAGAGAGGGAGCTGTTGATGTGGATGTAGAGGTAGACTGGAGTGTGGAAGGGGGAGGCAGAGTGAGCAGCTGTGTACAGGGCTGTAAAGTTGAGCCATGGAAGGGCGGTAATCCTTGGACAGAGTGGGAGAGTGCAAAGATGAGCTGTGAAAGAGGGGGGGAACTATGGATGGCAGAGGTGTGTGTTTGTGGCTGGGAGGCAGAAGTATTGAGATGTATAGATATAAGCCTTGGACAGTAATGTACATATTGCATACTGACCCCCAGGCTCTGTACAAGGTGCTACATAGTATATGACCTTTATTGTTTCATGTTACAAAGTTATGGTCACTGCATAGGACATACACCTAACCAGTGTTGCGTATGACTACCACAAACAGATCCAAAGTGGTAATAGCTCTCACTTCCCCAAAGCAACAATGGGCCAAATATTCTGGAATGTACAGTACTAGCTGTGTTCATGCTATATTAGTCACAGGCATCTGGCTTGATTGAGAGATACAGTAGTCTATCGAATGACCAGATGCACAAGCTTACACCAATACATTCATGAGGGGTGGAATTGGCTTCTTAATCAAGCCATTTTGCTGGGGACTGGGGCATAGATTCCACAGCTGAAGTGCAGAATTCGGTTTACATGAGAACAAGTCCTAACACGTATTAACTCACTCCTTCCTGTGACATAGAAACAATGAATGATACTGCTGAAGTAGTAGCCCATCTAGAAATAAGAGGGAATCTAGCAGGAAAGTTTGAAGTTACGTTTGTGGTCACAGATGAGCTCCAGGATAGTGGTTGGGACTGACAGGTTAGTAAACATTAACCAGAGTGGAAAATGAGGCTTTAACATGTCAAACCTTCCACGACAAAAAACAGCAATGCTCCACTGGTAAATATCAGTATAATTTTCTCTCTTCAGTACTGATGTACTATGGGAGGATCACAAATGGATACAAGCAGGTGGCAAACTGTTGGTAAAAGATCTAGGCAAAAGTCCAGTTGTAGCAGAACTGCTTGGGTCCACTGTTTTTGTGTTTGTTGGAGGAACAGTTTACCCACTTTGTTTTCCACTCCACAGGCGCTCTCCAATTAGATCCATGGAAAGACCAGATTTTTTTTGTCCAACAGGGTTGAACAAACAAAAAAAAAAAGTGTATGCCCAGTTTAAGACTAAACACTTTTTCCATGCTCTCATAAGTCCCGGAAGTCTTGATAAACTATTCACATCTTCCAGACTTTTTGCAGTCCAATTTCAATACTCATTTCAGGAGTCCTTTATTAAGAAGTAGGTAAATCCCACCATTGATCCAGCAGTGTTTCGTCTTAAAGGACAGATGACCCCTGTAAATGGTGCTCAATACTTAAAGTGTTACTAAACCCACAACAGTAAAATCAGTCTGTATATGTAGTAAAGCATTCTTGATATACTCTGTGGAACCTAAAGGGGTTAATCCTCTGCATTGTGTAAAAAGGCTGTTGGTCCTGTTTTCTCTGCCCCTCCTCTTGTTCAAATGTCCACCTTGTAAGAAACACCGAACCTGTAGTCACATGAACATGCTCAGTTTAGTGTTTATTGCTAGAGGATTTTTTTTTTCTTGGGAGAGTGCATGTGATCAGCACAGGACCAATCAGCACTGTCCAGATAGAGGGTAAGAGGTTTTGCATCCTCCTTGAGCAGAAAGAAAACTCCTCCTTATAAGCTTTAACCAGTGCTCTGCTGAAGTCACAAGACTGCCCTAACTGCTGATAAGAAAATGTATTTAGCAGGTTATATTTACTAAAATAATTGCATTTTCATGTTATGTGTACTGTGGGAGACCAGATACTAAACCCAGGACCCTGCATTCACTGTAACACTTTAAAGATCTCAATGTCTGGAGATTATTTTAACAACCTTGTTTTCCCTGGTAGACCATGCCTTGCAACTGTGCATGGCCATGATGCAAGTTTGTCAAACATTAAGGGAACGGGCAAAAGTTAAATGACGGGATCTAGGCTCCCTGCACACTGGTCCCTCATTTATAGAGCATTTAGAGCACATGCCAGAAGCCCTAAATTACTGTGTAGACAGATTAGGGGATATCTCTCATCTTGGTGAACAGGAAGGGAACATGTGGTAAAAATGTTGGGCTGCAAAGCAGGGTTGTAAAACATTCACTGTGCAGACCCTTCAAGGGAACATGTCTTTCTGGAGCTGTATTTGGACATCCTCATTAAAGGACAAGTACATCTTTTTTTTTTAAAAATAAATTCACATCTTTTTTTTGCAGGTAAAAAAATGTGCATGTATTTTTTTTTTTTTTTAATAGGAGCCTGCAATGCATTGCACCCACAATCAGCAGATCATGGGTGGATACTCAAGCTGCTGCAGGCTGTCAGCGTATCGGTCTGCTCGTAACTGAATGACAAAGAGCATCAATGAACTACTCAGAGCGCTCAACAGAACCTGGCAGTTCATTGTGAACTACAAGCAGTCAGCCGCAAAGGCTTTCGGTACTTGTATTTCTCCCATTCACATATCTCTGTGATTGATTGATGTGGCTGCGCAGGCCAAGCCCGCATGACCGCAGGTTTTTTTTTTTTTAATTATGACAGTGGGCACAGGGAGAGGATTCCCAGCCTGCTGTCACAATGGGGGATTTGGGGGATGTAGTGCGGCGGCTGCTGCAACAGTTATATCCTGTTATATCCTGAATATGGGTATACATGTTACGAAAGGTGAACAAGGGTAACATTAAACCTTCAGTTAAAATTTAAAATAGCAAGCATGGTATACAATACCTACCTGCTCTGTGCAAGTCCAGAGACTTGCACAGAGCAGCCCGCCCTGATCCTCCTCTTCTTGGGCCCCCGCCAATGCTTCAGGCTCCTCCCTCTTTGGCGAGTGCCCTGGAAGCCCCCCCCCTTGCCAAAACATTTTTTATACCGTAATGCATAGAATGCTTTAAGGTAAAAAAAAAAATCAAGGCTTTAAACCACTTTAAAGATGTAACTGAGGGTAACGGTACTCATCTACCTGTGCAGAAGAAGCCTAGGCCTCAAGCTGGTAAGACTCACTTCCCTTCTGTAGCCAAATAGATTTCCTTTTGGTACAGGCTTCAACCTCTAAGGCCAGACTCAATTCATGAGCCAAGTTCAACTGTGTAAAGCCTGGTATGCTTAAATCCCCCCAAACCTGCAGACTTGTCCTCTTTCACATGAAGAGATGCCCTAACTTTCCATAGTGGAGGGATCTGTTATCATTTGTGGACATCTAGATAGACAACATCTCAGGTGCCTGGGTGCAGGAGGTGGTCTCCAAGGGCCACAAAGTTCTGCTCTCAGACTCTTAGCTGGCTCATGTCTTCCAACCTGTGTCACTGCACATTATAGATTTCCATGTAGCCCTGGAAGGTCTTCTGGATTAAGAAGGTATTACCCCCAGGTTCTGTAGCAGAAAGGATTAAAAGGTATTTCAGCTCAACCTTTTTCACAGTTTTCAAATTAAAAGGGTGCATGTGGCTACTCTGGTAGCTCCATGCAACCAGTAAAGCCTGATCTATGCCTTTCCTCCTCTAATTCTCCCACCTCAACTGCAGAGGTGAGATGGAGGGCATTCTGGTGATATTCATGGTATTGAATTGGCCAAGGGAGATGTAAGTACACTGTGACCTGATCAGATGTCTGGTAGATGCCATGTGGGCTCAGGAAATATTCCATGGGACAAATCCTGACCTTTATGAAATCAGGCCTTGATCAGACGTTGGTCCTGAGTACCATGAAAAGGTCAAATTTAATTACTCAATATCCTTTTCCAGAGACCACTAGCCTCTCATTCTTTGAATAAGACTT